GTTATCATTAGCCCTTTAGTTGCCTTCAGGCTTCACAGAGGGGAAGGAACATCAAATTGAAAAAAAGTCGAGAGCGGGGAACAGAAGAGTGTTTCAAAGATGTAAGAGACGAACACAAAGGTAGAAAAAAGGTGAGGTGAGTACTGTGAAAATAGTCGAATATGGCATAGAGTGAGGTGATGGTAGTTTGAAGTGAGAAGTCAACTGCCGGTTAATAGACTATTTTGCCGTATGAGTATACATTGCCCAGGGTGCACCACGTGAAGGTAAGTCTATCGCACACCCCGGTATAGAGGAAATAGATGTATGGCACCGAGTACGCTTATTTGGGAAGCATATTGTGGTAAGAGGTTAGTCATAATCAGCATGGCGGATCCGCTTAAACAGACTAAGGCTTCTGATTGGCCATTGGTTGTGCGTGCATGCAATCACGCGTTAGGCGATGACGTGTCCAGCAAACTTCGAGGGTTTGTCCGTAAATTTGGTAATACTGTGGTAATTAATTTATCATAAAAGAAAACTTCTCTCTCTACATATTATCTGAATACTGCCAGAAGTATAATCTGAAGTCTATATCAATTTTTTGATAATTAAAATGCAAACGTGTTGAATGTATTGTTGATACCACTGTAAGAAGGGTAATTCAAAGAAATTCACACTAACAAGCAAGAAAATTTGCTTAACGTTATTTTTTCGCATATACACTTCATTTGTTGTCTGATCACAAATCAAACAGGAAATCCATCAGACATTTCATGCCCTTTTTTATCAGGACTTTAACAACTTCAAAGCTATTAGAAACCATTTCTGAAATTTATGGTCTATATCAATTTTGGTTTAAAAGAATTAAATGAGATTGTATGGATTTAAGGGACGCATTAAAATCCCCGGGAGTGTGTCAGATTCTCAGATGACTGTTGAAAAATTGTCTCAAATAACTCTCTGGTTCATGGTCAGTTGAGTAATTACGCACAAAGTTCACTGATAACTTTTGTTAAGAGCAAGGAACTCACCGTTTTTCTGCATTAAATTATTGCCAGGACAGGGAATTTGATCGTTTATGGCAACGTTAGTGGGTTAATAATGGCTGTTCATGGGGTGTGCGATAGAATTTCCTCCACGTGGTGCACCCTGGGCAATGTATACTCATACGGCAAAAAAGTCTATTAACCGGCGGTTGACTTCTCACTTCAAACTACCATGACCCCTCTGTATGTCATATTCGACCCCTCCCATGGTACTCATGTCGCCTTTTCTCCGCATTTGTGTGTGTCTGACTCTTTCCTTACCTTTTCCTCTACCTTTGTGTCTATCTGCCTCTTTTAATCTGTGAATCGCTCTTCTGTTCTCCACCCCTCGACTTTCTTCTATGAATCGCTCTTCTGTTCCCCACCCCTCGACTTTCTTCTAATCTGAAACACTCCTCTCTTCCCCCTCTCGACTTTTTTTCAACTGATGAACCTTCCCTCTGTGAAGCCCGAAGTCAGCTAAATTGATGAACCTTCCCTCTGTGAAGCCCGAAGTCAGCTAAATGATTAATGATAGCTATCAAAACGCCTACCATTTGAAAAAAATGGTTGCTCATCACATTGAGTACACATCAGTAACTTTTTCCATGAATTTGATAGGATATATTCTGGAATAATCAATTACGAAACATCTACAGGCCAGGCTTATTGTCGACCCTTGGGAAGTCTAGATCAGGTGTAATAGATAAACCTCTAAGTTTAATTGACAGAAAGGGGGTATTACTTTAGCTAGACCCACAAAGCAAGGATCCACCCCCCCCCCTCCTCCCTTGCGAAATCAGAATCAAAATATGGCGGAGGGGGGGGGGGGGTTGGGGTTGCCGCATCCCCAGAGTCACAAGGACTCCCTTCATCCAAATATCACCTTACTCGGGTGTGTAGCGGATTGCTACTTTATTAAAGCCTGACTGACTCGCTCGGAAATCTCAATGGCAAATTCTTCTACATCTAGCTAGGCTCCCAGAACCAGCTAAGCTATAGCCCAGCTATGAAAGGAAACAGACGTGTAGCAAGGAGCACGTTTATTCAGTACGGGTAGTGCGAATCAAGTGTGTACACGCAGGGAGCTACTCATGATCAGGATGGGGGATTAGGTTAAGCAGAGGTTGATGATTGGTCACTGTTTGTACGGTCACTGCACACAGAGTTGTACGGCCGCACCTCCCAATCCTGGCGAGCAGACATGCAGGCATACGATGACGCACACAGCGATAACGTGTCCCACAGGTGCATAACAGATGCTCAAGGCGAAAGTAATTTTGAAATGTTGTCATGACCCACTTATAAAATGTCATAGTTTTCAAAATGATCATCAGAAAGCTTCTAGCACAACGGAAAGTGTTGCAAATGGCGGTCTTGATTAGGTTATAAATATGCATAAACAGCAAATGAATAAAATAGTAACGTTAATCGTAAAATGTTAAATATCTTATTTACGCGCCTATTTTATACAGTTGGTAGGTTGCATAAAAAATAAATAAAATAAAAATTTAAATAAAGTTTTGACGCCAGCAAAACCGCTTAAAAATCCATGACTCATTGAAATATTGAGCCTATTATTTTCAATCAATTGAATCTATCACATTTTCAGCCAATAAAAATTGATTGAAATTTCTGTTTTAAATCAATCATCAATTAATAGGACCCTTTTATCCTTCTATTTAGGAAGTTGATGGGTGCCTAGAAGATGTTCATAAGCGTCTATCTCAAATTAGACAGTTCCAACAACGAAATCTACCCAAAAGCGGCAACTTGGAGGAAATTACGGAACTTCAGGATAGAATATCACAAATAAAAGTAACTCAGAGAGAACTGTTTACTCAACTCGAGGGAAGAGGACACATTTGGACAGACCTTCAAGAACATTACAAGGCATTTACTCATCACCTGGAGCAAGCAAATTCAGATATTTTAAGTAATCACCCGGATTATCCGTCCAGTGTTAGTTTAAGGCAGCTAAAACAGATTTCAGAGACCATCGATTCAATTAGGCAGAAAGAATCCAGCTATGCTACAACATTGGAAAATCTAAAAAGTCGATTTTCTTCAGGAATTGATTCAAAGTTGGCAGAAATGCGTCTTCTATGTGGTCGTCTTGGTAAAGATGTAGAAGATTTACTTGAAGCTGAGGAAAAGCAAGCTGATGAAATGAAATCTAAAGTCGAGGAAGCTGAAACAATGCAAACTGAAATCGTTCGAAATTCAATAATTTTAAACACAACGTTTCACCTTGCGAAAAAGATAATTGAGCAGTCTAATGAGAAGCTAGAAGGTTTGATTAAATCGAAGAGATCAAGAGGACCTGACGACCTTCTGAATGAAATTAGATCGCTTTCAACTGATCTCAATCAAGAAGGCCAGAATTTAGTGGATGGCTTTTCGTCTGCCGTTAAAGATCTCCAGAGGGCTTACATGGAACCACGAGTGGCTCCACAATTCCTTGGAAAGCTTACTGAATCCCTTCCGGAATGCCTCAATGAATTGTCTAAACGGTTAGACAAAGTGAATTTAGAGGTCACTGCAAAGGCAACAGTGATGGATGATCTTTGCTTGGAACTTCAGAAAGAGATATCGAACTTAGAGGTGGAAATCGATAAAATTTCGGATCTCATCGAAAGAAGTGAAGAGATAAGTTCACCACAAGAAATTGCGGCTATTCAGGCGAAATTGAAAGAGTCAGAAGGAATTTATAGTACTGCGGCGGCTCGGGTCAAACGAATAGTTTCTCAAACATCGAAGGTTAAAACGAGTGACCGACTGCAGGATTTAACATCGGAAGCGTCCAAAATGATTTCAGAGTGCCAAAACAAACTTGAATCTCTGAAGTCTGCCCTGAAGCAGATAACTTCTCAACTTGAAAAACTGAATAAGTCTATCTCAACAGCCCGAGAGGCTGTTAATGTGAATATCGCTGCAATTCAACAAAACGTTCAATTTCGACTTCCAATACGAAAGGTGGAGGAGTTGAAAAAGCGGCTTGAAACCATAGAATTGCTAGAAGAGGATCTAGCAATCGCAGAGGGCACTTCTATAATGGAGCCTCCCATTTTGGAAAAAGAAAGTTTGATGCCTGGCATAGTAAGCAAATTCAAGGATATTCAACAGTATTCAGATTCATTTTCAACGCCATTTGTTGAGGAGCTCTTAACAAAACTTCAAAGTCAATTGAATATCTACCGTGAAGGCCTTCTAAAGGCACGTGAATCTCTGGAAAGTGCTATAGAAGCTGCTGATATTTGGATGGCAGATTCAGAGATTCAATTAAAAGCATTTCAATCAGTGGCACGAGATCTTGAAAGTTCAGGTCGTACTCCGACACTGGATTTTGAAAGCTCTCAAACAGCAAGAATGGAAGGTCTTCAGAAGTCTAAAGATTTAGAGCGGTCCTGGCTACCTCAGCAGATCAGAAAAGTTGATAAATTAATGCGAGACGCTAGTACTACTGTAATGGGAGCGTTTTCGCTCTCCAATATTGATGAAATTTGCGAGAGAATGGAGGAACTTCAAAACTTCGTCAATTCGGCTAAAGCAGGAATTGCTAAAGCCACTCTGACATGGGAGGTTTATGTTTCCGAGGAACGAGAATTAAAACAACTTTTGCCGATGCTGGAAGATATCTATGATCAATTAAGCAAAGACATGGATGATATCGAACCCCGATATAGGTACGCGCCGGTGGAAGAGGCGGAGGAGATGCTAGTAAGACTTCAACGCTTGAAAAATCGAGTACCTGTTGGTAATAACTTATCAACCAAGGTTCGTTCAATCCTGAGTTCTAATCCATCAGCTTTGAATAGTTCGCCTCTTCTAAATAAGTGGGAAAATCTCAGCGTACATCGTCTGGACTCATTAATTAAAGCCATCGAAGAAGTGATCGCTGAAAGGACAGGGCATGAACTTGAAATTCAAAGTCTTCAAACCTGGCTCGAAGAATTTCAGCACAGTGTCCAGCAAGCAACTATTGAAGCCCAGAGTTCAAGCAACATTCAGACTTTAAATGACAATCACATACAACTCAAATCAAGGCTAAATCAGTGGGAAAAGGATAGTCTTGAGCCATTTTCAAGAAAATCTGGAGCTAAGGAGAAGTTAGCTACCTTAGATGGAATCCGGAATTCTATCCAATGTCAAATGGATCAACTTGAAAGATCGATTAAAGAGAAAGCGAATTCTCACAAAATTATCGAAGATAGATTCAAGGAGTTCGTTAGAGAAGTAGACGGCTTCCGAGCAGAATTGGAAAGTCGAAACTTTGCGTCTTTGAAAGGAGGATCTGAAGCTACGACAGCTCTTGAGGTTTGCGATGGTCTTCGGAGAAGTCGAGAATCGCTGAAAAACATCCACGAAACAACTATTGAAGCCCTATTTGGTAAATTGTATTCATTTGAATGCGACGCCTCAACTGTTCCAAGCATGTCAGAAGCTGTTCAGGCCATCAGGAAGAAATTAGAGGGAGCAAGAAAGTCACTCCAGTTGTTGGATGAAAACATTGTGTCTCAAATTGCTGCCTGGGAGGAAGTTATTTCTCTGTGCAAAAATATCGACGGCTGGTTCTTAGAACATGATTCGAAGAGGATTAAGAAAAGAAAGGAAACTAATGAATTTGTTGCATTTCCCATTGAAGCTTTCAACAAGCTTGAATCTCAGAGAAATATGCAACGGCTTGAGACTATTGCAGAAAAGAGGTTTAAGGAAGTTGATGAAGCTAGAAATCGATTGGATGCTTCAGGCGCAGTGAAAGAAGTGATTGAACAGCTGAGAAAGAAAGCAGAGAGGATATTGGAAGGAAAGGCGCTTTTGAAATTCATGCTGGAGAGCTATGAAAGTAGGCTGAATGAAAAGATGGATATCGACCAAGCCAATTTATCTAATGCTGAAAAGTCTCAAGATAGAATAAAGAAGCTGCTACAGGCTATTAGCAACCTAGACAATGTGGTACTTGATTGCAATAAGGAAGCGTTCACTTTGGAGGAAATGAACAAGAAAAGTGAAGATGTTCAAGCTCTCCTTGAAGCCGAGATAAAGCCACTGGTTTTGGAAGATTTTGAATTACGGGTGCAGATTGCTCGAGGTGAAAGGTTACTCCAATTGCTGCAAACGTGGAGTCGAGAGAGACAGGCACACGAGAGACTTATCGCCTCGGAACGGGAGTCCCTGAAAGTCTTCACGGCCAGCTTACGCCAATGGTTGGTCCAGTGGAATAAGAATTTAGAAGAGGCAAAAGCAACTGCTGATTTAGAACTTGGAATTCAACTTACTGCCACCGATTCATCGACTAAATGTCATTATATGGAAAATATGAGGGGTCTGTTGCAAGAGCAGCAGATCAAAAAAGGGGAGATTGAAGAGGTGGAAAGGAAACGTGGAAGTCTAAATTTAAAGGAATTGGAGGCGGAAGATTCCGAATTAACTGCATTGATTGGAGATATTTCATCTGGAGAACGCAAAGCTAATCGACACATTTTGGAATTAAGCGAACGAGGTGCCCGAGTAGAAGGTCTTCGTGGGAGCCTCGACAAAGCCAGAGACTGGATCAAATCAACTAAGAAGCGCCTTGGAAAATTTAAAGTAAGTTTAGTTTCAGTTTCTATTGCCGCCTTGTCTATAAAAACAAACAAGTGACTGAATGAGTTAGTAAAATTAAGCGCAATGTCTACGGTACAATTAAGGAGATTATCCTAAAACTTTGATCCACAATTTCCCAAAACTAGCACTTTATTAATAAACGTATCCAAACAAGAGCAATTATTTGTCATTGATGATCTTTACTTCACCTAGAGGAAGACATGGAGGTGAGCTAGGTAGCCGCATACGTATAGGGTGGGGGGAGAATTTAATGAACCAGAGGAGGACCTGTTAGTAGAAAGCTAGCTTAAAATATGCGAATTGTAAATCTGCATGTTGCAACTCGAGGTGAAGTAGACTCAACAAATTGGTATAACACTCTCTTTCAATTATTAAATCATCTTCCCTGTCGTTTAGAATCCACGCATTGGTCTGAATTCCTTTGATGAAAGAGAAGGCAGCCTTTCCTCTGAGGATGTCGAAGCTGTAGCTGCCGATCTGCGACAGGAACTCAATCACTCGCTCAGTCTTCTGCAAGCCTCTATGGAAAAGTTTGACAATAGTGGTGGCGATGCCTCACTCCTTCAAATCGCCCTTACTGAAGTGGATAAAATCGATGCGGAGATTGGGCAACTTCTCTCTGAAGTCTCACGAACTAAAGCCAACCTTAACAGCTATTGCGTGCACTCAGCCAGTCTTGACAAATTCATCCAAAGTTCAACCGAGTCAGTGACAACAAATTCGTCAAGATTGAGTGGCCTTTTAAAGAGGTGCCTTGCAGGTGATCGACGAATAAGATCTCTATCCCCTCTTCGCGTTTCAACAAATCGTCTCATGCCACAAATGGAGAGAATAGTTCTTGAATTGACGAGTTTAGATGACTTGGCCTGGTTGAATGGAAGCGATATGCTAGTTCAGGAATTAAGGGTAGGTAGAGCACCTTTCTAAGACTTACAAGTAACCGATGTTTCTATAGTTCATAGAGGCAGACATTAAAATGAACGCCGCTCAATTTCAATCGATGGTGGATCAGTGCGCAGTTCTTCGCAGAGATTACGGTGATGACAGCCGAAGTACTCAAGTTGATCACCTCTTCCAGCAGAATAATCAACTCCTCCGGGTTTGTGAGGAATTAATCGACCATTTCAACAATGTGGCAACTCAATGTACAACTTGGAACTCTTCATGCCAGGGTTTTGTTAACTGGATGGATAAGCAGACTGTTTCGATCTCGAGGCTTGAGGACTCTTCCATGAATTCAACTCCCACTGAAAAGACCCTCAAAGAGTTGAAGGTAGCATTTCCAATTCCAGTTGACTTTAGTTGTTTTATAGACTCTTCAGACGGAGTTGAACACGGGACTCGCCTTACAGCAAGCAGTGGCTGATGAGACGCAGAAAATGACTGTAGCTGTTTCCAGAGCTCTTCACTCCGCAAATACAACTTCCACGCTCATTCCGATTACTACACCACGCGTTGCAAGTAGACAGGGCTTTGATTTCTCGGTGAATTATCGCTGGCATAGTAGTATTATGTGCGCTGTGACGACTTTATACGAACTTACAAAGTCCTTGCCTGCGGTAAGTTGTCAAATAAACTTTTGACTAACCTTCGCGTACAACTTTGAGGTAAAGACTCGTTTACACTTTAGAAAATAAGTGAATATGAAAGAAGGCTTGCCCTGTGGACTGAAATAAAGGAACGAAAGGCGAATCTCGTGAAGTGGCTTGACGCAACAGAACAGAAGGTGTCAGAAAGTATACAGATTATTGAAGATCAGGGGCAATGTGAAGGAGAATCTGTGTGGGGTCGACAAATGGAGGAAATGAAAGTGAGTTCCTAATATTCAAGTTTTTTTAACCCTCCTCAATAATACTAGGCTATCGAAGCATTAGTTCCGTCGAAGAGGGGTGAATTGAAGAATGTTGAGACGGAAATCCTACATTCTTCTTCAAAGTCACCTGATTCTGCCCTAACGGATACGTTCAATAAGCTGAATGTTCTCGAAGCCCGCCTTAAGGTAAGAAATAAATCAATTGCTCATTCCACTTTCCTTAGGGCCATCTTGGATTTATGAGCGACATTCAAGAACGAGTTGATGATTTTAACAGAATGACAAGTGAATTGGAGTCCTGGTTGCGTCAGTGTAAAAGACGATCGTCTCAAATGGATGCTGAACAGGGTTCAAATATGCTAGAACATTGTCGACGTATTCTCCACGAGGTGGTGATTAAAGTCACAAGCAGGTCACGACAGCGATCCCATACATGGAGGCTCAGTGATACTTGCCAGATTTTACAGGATTTAAGTACTCAAAAATCTGCCGCTGCTACATATGTCTGCTCTATTGTTCGGCAGTACCAATCTCTGGAAGAAAAATTCGAAAATTTGACCAAATCTAAAATTCCAGTAGGTTAAATCTTCAGATTTGAACAAAACTCTATTTGCACTCTAATATCCTATTCTGTCATCATTTTAGGCAAAGATATCTGATACACCAACGATGGATTGGCAGTACTTCCGTCGTCTATTGAGGCAAATCCAGTTATATTTGGATGATTATTCGGCAAATATTCAGGGATTACTGCCTACACGTGGTTACGACGATGCAACTTGCAAACTTGGCATTGCGAAATCAGCCCTTTATCGCTTGGAGGATTTCTCAATTCAACTTACCAATTCTGCTAATGCGTAAGTTATTCCAACATATCGGTTGTTTCTAGATGGAGTTTATGCTCAAGCTTCGGTAAGCCCGGTGAACGTTGACACTAAGATTTCAATACAAAGGCAGCCTAAAATGTACTTGAAATTCTCTCAAAAGCCTCATATCAAAAGAGGGTGGAATGAATCTTCTTCCTCCCAACCACCCAGATATCTAATTTTCAGATAACGATCTAAATTTAGGCCTAAACATTATTTATTCGGTTCCTTTCTCGTGATTTTAGAACTCCTCATGTGTACGGAGGAGTAAGAGGGTTAAGTTGTGCTCACTGTTAGCCACTTGTGTTTAAAATTTAATTGTAAAAAGACTAATACCGGGGGTTTTCCGAAAATCCGCCCAGGGCGGTTAAATAAAAATAATTAATTTCATAAAATTATTTTTTTTGGAACCAAATAACCTCCCACCCGGATAAGTGCCCGTGGGCGATAATACAGAAGTAGCAAGTTTCACCCAAAACACATACATATTTTGAGAAAAACATGGAATGTGGAGCAATGTGCCATATTTCTGTGTGTCTGGGGCTCTCGTATTGTGCATTCGGAATGCCTCATCCCATATCTAAATAAGGATCCGATATAGTAGAGGAAACGTGATTGCGATTGGCTTCAACTCCCTTGAGGTGATATTGACTACTCCATCAAGTCTTTCACCGCTTGTTTTCACCTCTTATCTGCAATATCCTGACAAAGAGATACCAAGCCCGTCTTAGACAAGTTATCGATCACTCAAACCATGCGTCTTCTTTTTTAATTGAAGGAGAATTAGTATTCAGCCACAGTTACCCTTCACGAATTACTCCCAAAATATTGATTTTGCGGATTCGAGACAGCGTGGTTTGGGTGATTTACAAGAAATTTCGAGATTTCGTGTGGAATGCTTGGCAGCCTGGCTCTGTCAATGCTTCCGTTGCTTATGAGACTTCAACAAAATGATCTTGCCTTTATTTACCTTCTTTATACCATCTCAAGCAAAATTGGCATAATCTCGATTAGGAATGCGTCTTATCCTCCACTCACTTTCGCTCGGCACGAATTTCACCATTTTTATCTAACTTTGCGTTCTTTTCAATACCCACTTTGTAGTCTAAGAGGCGGCACTTCCCAAAGTCCAAATCATTTATCTTCCACTGAAATTGAACAAATTGTTAGTAGCTACGATTCCTCTATGGTGGATACTGCAAGAGAGACATTAGCCAGAATGGAAGCGACCATCGCAAAGCTACGGTCTTTAGTTGACAACCTCCAGAAATTGCAAAATGATTGGCAAAATTACAACTCCAATGTGGATTCATTCCGCAAATGGTTGCACAAGAAAACCCTATCTAACGGAAGAGATTATAGGGGAAATTTCGTGGAAGTAAGTTGTTTATTTTATTTAAATAGCACATCTAGGAGGTTAAGAAGGAGGGTGATCGTTTAAAGAGTCTTCAGGCAACTTTCCTAAAACTCAGTGGAAATAAATCACAAGGTGATCCTGAGTTAGAAAAATTGCAAGCTGAATATAGGCGACTCCTCATGCGAAAAGATCCTCGAGAGGTTAGTAAATTATTGATTATTCCAACGATTTTCTATAGCTATCACAAGAGAGTCCTCGAGGGATTTCAGAGGTGTCATCTAATAGAAGTTTGAGGACTGAGGTATTATCAGACCTACTTCAAACTGTCCGTCACATGAAATCTGATGTTGATCAAGCGGACAGAAGAGCGGATAGAAGGTAGTCAGCCTTTGTAAGAAAGAGGGTCACTTTTTGTTCACTTCTGTTAATCCCTCCACTGATTTTATGTTTGACACAGCTTTCACAATCTCCACAAAGCATTCCATCGAACTATGCGACGTTCGAGATCACAGCACTATTAAAGCAAGGGGCGAGGATTTCCACACTGTTCCTGTGCTTTCGTGATTCTTATTTCTTTTCGGTTAAAATAATGCAAACATTTCGAATTAATTTAGTCGTCTGGAATGGGTTAAAAGCGACCGAGCTTGGAGAATTTCAAAGATGGCATTTCATTGTCATATCTGTGGGTAAGTTGAGATCTAAGCAAGAGAGAGATCATAAAATCTTGTTTCCTTAGTACGCTCATTGTTACTGCAATTTCAGGCGTCCGGATCCATCGAAAAGTGGACTAGATTCCGACCTTGCAAATCCTTCTAAAGCGTATCGAATGTGAAGGCACTCTGCGAATATTTCGAAAATAAAAAGAAGAAATAAAACAGAGAGAGATAGAGAGAGAGGGAAGGAGAACTGAAAAATCATCTACTTTTCCATTATCAACTCAGGTTTTAATAAAAAATTATTCACTTAGTCTTTTGTTCATTGATTTCTATGGCATGGTATCAACTTGAATTTGAAAATTAGAAAAACCTTAGCAAGTTAAAATGCTCCAACCAATCAGGAGTTTACAAAATAGCATATAAGCGATTAAATAGGTTGAAAACAACTGACTTAAAATTAAAGAATACAGAAAGTAGAAGCAAATAGCAATAACAATGCGAATTGACACTAGGGAATTTTCTGATTTCTTCATTTGAAAAATTGAAAAAATTAGTAGTTGCAATACTTCAGAGGATGGAAAAAGGCCAGTGTAATCATGGCAGAGCATAAGGGGGGAATAATTAACGAAATTAGAATAGCCAACTGACAACAATAGAAGAAGACAAATTTTAAAAACCCGAACAAAAGGAAATATGTGAGAAAAAGTGTGCATAAAAACCACAACGAGGAAGCGAGGTGAAAGGAAAGGACAAAGTAAAGAAGAAAATTTCATATCCAACAACCAATCCCCACATGTCACCACGACCAACACTTCACACGCCAAACACACACACACACGCACACACATCCCATTGACCAGCATA